CTGTAGCTAGGCATTCGAATACTAGATTGAAGAGAAGTGGAGAGAGTGGACATCCTTGTCTTGTTCCTGAGTTAAGAGGAAATGGGTTTAATTTTCACTATTAAGTATAATGCTGGCTGTAGGTTTGTCATATAAAGCCTTTATTTTATTGAGGAATATCCCATGGATTCCTAATTTTTCCAAAAACTTCATCATAAAGGGGTGTTGGATCTTGTCTAATGCTTTTTCTGCATCTATTGAGATAACCATGTGGTTCTTATCCTTGCTCCTGATGATGTGATGAATAAAATTAATTGATATGCGTATATTGAACCAGATTTGCATCCCTGAAATGAATCCTGTTTGATCGTGTTGTGTGATTTTTTGGATGAATTGTTGACTTGGATTGGCCAAAATTTTGTTGAGAAGTTTTGTATCAATGTTCATCAAAACATGGGTCTATAGTTCTCTTTCTTTGATGAGTCCCTTCCTGGTTTTGGGATGAGAGTTATGAGAGTTATGATGGCTTCATAGAATGTGTTTGGTAGTGAACTTTGTCTGCTTTAAAACCGTCTGGTCCTTGACTTTTCTTAGCTGAGAGGTCTCTTATTGCTGTTTCTATTTCAATGCTTGATATAGACCTGTTAAGATGGTTTATCTCATATTGGTTTAGTTTTGACATGTCAATATTTGCTAGGAAAAGGTCCATTTCTGCCAAGTTCTCAAACTTATTAGCGTAAAGTTTTGAGAAGTATTCACTTATAATGTTCTGAATCATGGTTGTTTCCGTGGTGATGTTTCCATTCTCATCTCTGAGTTTATTTATTTGGGTGTGTTCTCTTCTTTTTCTGATAAGATTTGCTAAGGGTCTGTCAATTTTGTTAATTTTTTCAAAGAACCAACTCTTTGTTTTGTTGATTCTTTCTATAGATATTTTGGATTCTAATTCATTTAATTCTGATTTAATTTTAATTATTTCTTTCTGTCTACTGGATTGGGGTTTATTTGCTGCTCTTTTTCAAGGAGGTTCAGATGTCTCATTAAATTGTTGGTTTCAGATCTCTCCAATATGTTGATGTAGGAACTAAGAGCTATAAACTTGCCTCTGCTCACTGCCATTGCTGTGTCCTAGAGTTGCTGGTAATTTGTGTGCTCATTTTTGTTGAATAGCATGAATATTTGAATTTCCTTTCTAATCTCTTCCATGACCCACTCGTGATTCAGCAGAGTGTTGTTCAACTTCCATGTGTTACCAGACTTTCTTTGGTGGCTTTTGGTGTTGAGTTCTAATTTTATTCCCTTGTGGTCTGAAAGAATGCAAGGTATTACTTCAATGTTTCTGAATTTGGACAAGTTTGCTTTGTGGCCTAAAATGTGGTTTATTTTAGAAAATGTTCCATGTGCTGCTGAGAAAATCGTGTATTCTGGTGCTGCTGGGTGAAATGTTCGGTAGATGTCTGTTAAATCTAGTTGATCTATGCAGCTGTTTAGATCTGTAGTTTCTCTGTTGAGTTTTTGCCGAGTTGATCTATCTAGTGGGGAGAGTTGTGTGTTAAAATCCCCAACAATTAATGTCTTTGGATCTATGTGGAATTTGAGGGAAAGTAGTGTTTCTTGGATAAATTTGGGAGCTCCGTTGTTTGGTGAATAGATATTTAGAATTGTAATATCCTCCTGAAGGAGAGATCTGTTAATAAGTATGTAGCGACCTTCTTTATCTCTTCTAAGTAATTTTAATTTGAAGTCTACTTTATCTAATATTAGGATTGCAACTCCAGCTTGTATATGGAGGCCATTTGCTAGGTAGATTTTGTTCTAATCTTTCACATTGAAAATGTGTTTGTTTTTATGGGCAAAATTCCTGAAGGCAGCAGAAAGAATGATCGTGCTCTTTAATCCAGCTAGACAGTCTATGTAGCTTAATTGGAGAGTTAAGTCCGTTAATGTTAAGAAATAGGAGAGAGGTATTTGGGAGTTCCTGCCATTTTATCCACATTTTTGGGGGCTGTGGCAACTGTTTTCTTCTTATGGTTCTTGGATTCTCAGTTTGGGTGCAGTTTCTTGGCCTCTATTCTGGTCTTGTTGGTTTTCTTTGTGTAGGACATCTTTAAGAATCTTTTGTAGGGCTGGTTTGGTGGAGATGTATTGTTTCAATATTTCTTTGCTATGGATGGTTTTTATTTGTCTTTTAGTTATGAAGGAGAGTTTAGATGGTACAGTATTCTTGGAGGATAGTTGTTTGTTTTTAGGGCATGGCATACATCATTCCAGGCTCTTCTTGCTTTGATTGAATCTGCTGAGAAATCTGAAGAGATTCTAATTGGTTTCCATTTATAGGTGATTGATCTTTTCTCCTTGACAGCTTTAAGGATCTTTTCCTTGGTCTGAGTTGATCCTGTGTGGATTATAATGTGACTGTGGGATGTCCTATTCTGGTCTGGTCTATTTGGAGTTCTAAAAGCTTCTTGTATCTGAATAGGACTATCTTTTTACATGTTTGGGAAGTTCTCTGCTAGGATCCTGTTAAACAAATTTCCTAGGCCATTAACTTGTGTTTCTAGTTGCTCCTGTACACCCATTATCCTTAGATTAGGCCTTCTGATGGTGTCTTCCAAGTGTTGGATAGGTCTATCATATTTCTTGGACTTGGATACTTGTATGTACTTTATCTATAATATCTAGGCTGTCTTCAATTTCCAAGATTCGATCTTCTACATGGTCTAACCTGCTGTCAAGACTTTCTACTTTGGTTTTTATTTCTTTTCCTTCTAATTGGTCAGTTTTGATAGCTTCAAATTCTTTGTGGAAGCTTTGTTTTAGATCTTGAATGGACTTCTTTACTTCCTTAATTTGGTGTTCAGTGTTTATTCTCAAATCACTTATTTGATTGGTTATGGTTTCCTTGGACTCCCATTCCTTCTGTTGGGTTCCATTCAGCATTCCCTTTGTGGTCTCCGTGACTTCCTTCAGCTATTTGTTAATGGATCCCATGAATGCCTTTAGTGATCTTTGTGTAGTCTCATCCTGCTCTCTCAATTCCTGTATTACTTTTTGCTTAGCTTCCTTCTGTTCATGCCATTCCTGTAGTTCTCTTTGAGTGTTCTCAGCCTGTTCAAGCCATTCCTGCCTTTCTCTTTGAGTATTCTCAAGCTGCTCACGCAAATCCTGTATCAGTTTTTGAGTAGCTTCCTCACGCTCATGATATTCCTGTATAAACCTTTGGATTGCCTCTTCTCTCTCCCTCTCACTCTCATGCAGAGTCCTTTGTAGGTTTTCAATCTTTTCCTGCCTTGACCTATTGTTTGCCTCCTCTCTCTCCCTATCACGCACATACAGAGTCCTTTGTCGGTTTTCAATCTTTCATTTATCATGTTTTCCTGCAGTGTTTATTAGAGCTTTTTGGGAATTCTCCTCTGGATTATTCATTATCCGTTATGTCCCCTGATTATCATGAGTGGGAGTTGAGATACCCGGACTTGCCATTTTTCTTGTGTTTTTCCAGCTTACTCTGCCCATTTGGGATGAAAATAACAACAGTTTTCTGCTAGAACACTAACTTAAGTCAAGCATCAACCACAGTCTGCATTTGCACAGTCCATAGTCTGCAGATAAAATCTAGTTCAACAGATACATCTATTAAACATCAAATAACTATATATTAATGGGGTACGAACCCCAAAGAAGAATTTGGAAAATCAGAAATTATTAGGGGTAGGGAGAGATGTGCGTAAAACATAGGAATAGAGAGATGTGGGAAGAGACAGGGAGAGTTAACTAAGTCCTAATCACAAAGCAGGAAATAGGTTGGGTAGTATGAAAGTAGAGAAAGAGAAAAAAAGAAGAAAGAGAAAGGGAAAAAAGAGACCAGAAAAAATAGAAAAGAAAAATTTAAAATATTATGCAGAATCGAAAACAAACTATTCAGAGAAGAACGTGAATATAATGAGAGAAAGGGAGGGATATAAATGAGATGTGAAAATCTTAGAAATTATAATACTTAAAATATTATATAGGTATAAAGAGGTAGTACTGCTATTAAGGAATTTAAGTCTCAGAGGTTTTGAATTGAGTAATAAATTTGTGGATTAAGTGTGTTCACAATGGGGGATAGGATCTAATAGTCAACTACGGGTTTATCTGAGGTTGTGCAGAACAACAATTAAGTCACATGAAGAATGAAAGAGAAGAAAAGGTGAAAAGGGTAAGAGAGAAAGAAAAAAAAGATCAGAAGTTCAGTAGAGGTAAACAAAAAGAATTTTTTTTAAAAAAACAAAGAAATAAAAAGAAAGAAAAATGCACACACACACATGTACTCCTATAATAAAAATTATAAGAGGAAAAAAAGTTACTAGAAAACAATTTTTTTCAAAAAATTTAAAAATTAAAAATTTTTAGAAAAGAAAAAAGTTTTTTATAAAAGGTACAAAAAAAATGAAGAAGAGAAAAAAGCAGTTCTTTCATTTTTCTGGGAGGGTTGGGGAAAATCCTGCATATCCCTTGTGTCCGTAACCAGCCTCTTGTTGGAGTCTCTGGTCTGCTTGTGGTTCTGTGGCTTGGTTGGTTTCTTAAGTCAGTTTGTTTGAACAGGCAGAGAAATGCTCTGCTTTACCCAGGATTTTGCGATCTTCCTTCCACTTTAGTTCAATTGGAGGGAGATCTGCTTTGAGTATCACAAAAGAGGGAGATGGCTTTTTCCTCAAATTTGGAGAAGCTGTGATGAGGCAGCAGCTGGCAAGAGCTCAGATCTGTCTCCTTGTCTGGATTTTCCCTCTCTGTCCTAACTCTCTGTCCTGTGATGGCACACTTGGTGTGATTCTCTGGCTGAGGACTGTTCACTGGAACTCTAAAACTGCTTTCTATGTGAATGATTGTTTTACTTCTAGATTCTCCTCTGCCATCTTCCCAGAACTCTCTTTTTATCTTTTAAAATAATTTTTTTTATTTAGCTCTAGTGACCATTTGATCCTTTTTTTTTCCTTCTTGTTCTTTTCACGTTTTCTTCTCTTTCATGCTTTGCATGACTTAATTGTTGTTCTCATCCTCATATATACCCGTAGTTGATTATTTGACTTTAGCCACATTGTGCACACACTTAATCCAGAAATTTATTACTCAGTTTAAAGATGCTTAGACTTAACTTCCTTAATAGCAGTACTACCTCTTAATACCTATATAATATTTTTAGCATTTTTATTTTTAAGTTTTTCACATCTCCCTTCCATCCCTCCTGTTCTCTTATTCTATCCACATTCTTCTCTGAATATTATGTCTTCAATTTGCATAATTTTTAATTCTTAATTTTTAATGTTTGTTTTCCTGTTTTTTCTTGACTTTTTTCTTTCTCTTTCTTCTTTTTTTCTCTCTCTACTATCATTCTATCCAAGCTATTTCCCGTTTTGAGTTTAGGATTTGTTATGTTAACTCTCCCACTGCCTTTCCACATCACTCTATGCCTATTTTTTACTACATCTCTCCCTAAACCTAATAATTTCTGTTTGCCAACTTATTCTTTGCAGTTCGTAGCTCAATAATACTTAGTTGTTTGAAGTTGAATAGATATATCTATTGAATTATATTGTATCTGCAGACTTTTGACTGTGCAACTACAGACTTTTGTTGATGCTTGCCTTAAAATAGTGTGCTAGCACAAAGCTGGTTTATTTTCATCCCAAATGGGTAGAACAATCTGGAAAACACAAGAAAAATGGCAAGTTCAGGTATCTCAACTCCCACTCATAATAATCAGGGGACAAAAAAGATAACGAATAATCCATACAAGTGTTCCCAAAAAGGTCTACAAATACTACTGGTAAACATGGTAAATGAAAAGATTGAAAACCTGCAAAGGACTCTGTATGAGCGTGATAGGGAGAGAGAGGAGGCAAAACAAAGAATATCATGAGTGTGAGGAAGCTACTCAAAGTTTGATACAGGAATTGCGAGAGTAGCTTGAGAACACTTAAAGAGAAATAAAGGAATTGCATGAGCAGGCTGGGATCAGTCAAAGAGAAAGTCATGAATGGCGTGAGCAGGCTGAAAACACTCAAAGAGAACTACAGGAACTGCGTGAATATGAATAAGCTAATCAAAAAGTAATAGAGGAATTGAGAGAGGGGGGATGAGAATACAGAAAGATCACTAAAGGCATTCAAGGAATCCATAAACAGAGAGCTCAAACAAATCAGGGAGACCACAAAAAGAAGTGCTGAACGTAACCCAAAAGAAGGAATGGGAGTCCTAGGAACCCATAACTAATCAACTAAGTGATTTGTTAATAAATACTGACACCAAATTAAGGAAGTAAAGAAGTCCATACAAGATCTAAAACAAAACTCCAGCAAGGAATCTGAAGCCATCAAAGGTGACCAACTAGAAGGAAAAGAAATAAAAAAGTAGAAAGACTTGATAGTAGGTTAGACCATCCTGAAGATCGAATTTCAGGGATTGAAGTCAGCCTAGTTATTATAGAGAAAGAACATACAACCATCCAAGACAAATCCAAGAAATATGATAGAGCTATTCAACAATTGGAAGACACCATCAGAAGGCCTAATCTGAGGCTAATGGGTGTAGAGACAGAAGTTAATGGTCTAGGAAATTTGTTTAACAGGATTCTAGCAGAGAACTTTCCAAACATGCAAAAAGATAGGTCTATTCAGACACAAGAAGCTTTTAGATCACCAAATAGATGAGACCAGGATAGGGCATGCCACCATCACATTATAAACTACACACGTTCAATTCAGACCAAAGAAAAGTTCCTTAAAGCTGTCAAGGAGAAAAGCTCAATCACCGGTAAAGGGAAACCAATTAGAGTCACCTCAGATTCCTCAGAAGAAACAATTAATGCCAGAAGAGCCTAGAATGATGTATGCCATGCCCTAAAGACAAACAAATATCAACCAAGAATACTGTACCCAGATAAACTCCTTCATAACCAACTAGATCACAATAAAGGCCAAGCAACAGTACCCAAACTGAGAATCCAAGAGCCATAGGAAGAACCAAGTTGCCGCAGCCACAAGAATGTGGATAAAATGGCAGCAGCTCCCAAATACCTCAGTCGTATCTCTCAACATTAACGGACTTAAATCTTCAATTAAACGACATAGACTGTCTACTTGGATTAAAAAGCAACATCCTTCTATCTGCTTCTTTCAGGAGTCACATCTTGCCTGTAAAAACACACATTTTCAATGTGAAAGGTTGAAACAAAATCTACCAAGCAAATGGCCCCCATAACCAGGCAGGAGTTGCAATCCTAATACCAGATAAAATAGACTTCAAATTAAAATAAGAGAGAAAAGATTAAGAAGGTCTCCACATACTCATTAAGAGATCTCTCCTTCAGGAGGATATTACAATTCTAAATATCTACTCGCCAAAAAATGGAGCTCCCAAATTTATCCAAGAAACACTACTTTCGCTCAAATCCCACATAGATCCACAGACACAGGCTGAAATTTTCTTAATAGAGACCCAGAAGCACAACAAATCTAAGAAGGGTTGAACAAATGGGATTGCATGAAATTGCATAGCTTCTGCATGGCAAAGGACATAGCTAGTAATATCAATAGAAAGCCCACAGATTGGGAGATGGTCTTCACTAGCCATACAACAGACAAGGGTTTCATATCTAAAATATACCTGTAACAAAAAATTAAACCCCCCAACAGCAAACCTTCAAAGAAAAAACTGCCCAATAAATAAGTGGGCTAAAGACTTAAAGAGAAACTTCTTTGAAGAGGAAAGAAGGATGGCCAATAGACACATGAAGAAATGCTCAACCTCCCTAGCAATAAAAGAAATGCAAATCAAAACAGCATTAGATACCACTTCACCCCAGTCAGAATGGCTAGAATCAAGAACTATAATAACAACAGATGATGGAGGGCATGTGGACAGAAGTGAACCTTAATACATTGTTGGTGGGAGTATAAACTTTTACAACCACTTTGGAAAGTAGTATGGAGTTTCCTCAAAAGACTCCACATAGGGCTCCCCTATGATCCAGCAATCCCACTTTGGGGCATTTAACCAAATGTTCACAAGCAAAACTATAAGAAAGTTACCAGCACAACTATGTTTATTGCAGACTTATTTACCATAGCTAAGATCTGGAACCAACCCAGATGCCCCTCAGTAGATGAATGGATCAAGAAAATGTGGTATATATACACAATGGAATTCTATGGGTCCATCAGAAAAAATGACATTGCCCCATTTGTTAGGAAATGGAAAGATTTGGGAAAAATTGTATTAAGTGAAGTAAGACAGGCCCAAAGAAACATTGGTCCCATAGCTTCCCCTATTTGTAATAACTAGTATCAGTCTGAATCAAGCAGAAAAGGTCAGATAAGTCGATTTTAGGGAAATGAACCCTAAGATATTTATTCAAATGTTTTTTTTTTCTTTCATGCAATTGTTTCTAAAACAATTATAAGATCATTTCTTTGGTGCTTTGTATATGCCTGCACAACTTTAGAACCCCTGTTTTCACTCTATTTGATGTTGTTATCATTTGTGGAGGGGAAGGGAAAAAATAAATCATTTAAATAGGCATATAGGTGGACCCATTGCAACGAGATGTACAAGTCATTATGTCAAAAACGAACTTTACAACTTTGGTGGGGGATTGAGGGTTGGGTGGTGGGAGGGGGGGGAGAATGGGATGGGAAGGGGAAACAAAGGAGGAGGCTACAATGCTTTATGAGAAATGTACTCATTGTCTTGCCCATGTAATTGCAACCCCTCTGTACAGTATTTTCACAATAAAATAAGTGGTCTATTTTGGAAAATGTTCCATGTAGTGATGAGAAAAAAGTGTATTCTGATGCTGCTGGGTGAAATATTCAGTAGTTGTCTGTTAAATGTAGCTGATCTAGGCAATTCTTTAGATCTGCATTTTCTTTATTGAGTTTTTTCGAGTTGATCTATCTAGTGTGGATAGTGGTCTGTTAAAGCCCCCAACAATTCTTATCTTTGGATCAATTTGAGATTTTGGGGAAAGTAGTATTTGTTTCGGTGATCCATTGTTTGGCGAATAGTATTTATTATTGTAATATCCTCCTGAAAGAAAGATCCCTTAATTCATATGTAGTGACCTTCTTTATCTCTTCTCACTAATTTTAATTTGAAGTCTATTTTATCTGATATTATGACTGCAATTCCTGTCTGTTTATGGGGGCCATTTGCTTGGTAGATTTTGTTCCAGACTTTCACGTTCAAAGTGTGTTTGTTTTTATGAGCAAAGTGTGATTCCTGAAGGCAGGAGATAAAAGGATGTTGCTTTTTAATCCATCTAGACAGTGTATGTCGCTTAATTGGAGAGTTAAGTCCGTTAATGTTGAGAGAAAGGACTGAGAAGTGTTTGGTAGTTTCTGCCATTTTATCCACCTTCTTGGGTGCTGTGGCAACTTGGTTCTTCCTATGGTTTTTGGATTCTCAGTTTGGATGCCATTTCTTGGCCTTTATTGTGGTATTGTCAGTTCTGTCTGTGTAGGACATCTTTAAGTATCTTTTGTAGGACCAGTTTGGTGGAGATATTTTTTTTTCAGTTTTTCTTTGCTATGGAAGGTTTTTATTTCACCTTTGGTTATGAAGGAGAATTTAGCTGTTTACACTATTAGTGGTTCATCCTTCGTCTTTAGGTCATGGCATGCATCTTCCCAGGCTCTTCTTGTTTTAATTTTCTCTGCTGAAAAAAATGAAGTTATTCTAATTGTTTCCCCTTCATAGATGATTGATCTTTTTTCCTTGACAGCTTTAAGGATCTTTTCCTTGGTCTGAATTGATCTTGTGCATATTATAATGTGATGGTGGGATGTCCTGCTCTTGTCTGGTCTATTTGGGGTTCTAAACGTTTCTTGTATCTGAATAGGCCTATCCTTTTGCATGTTTGGGAATTTCTCTGCTAGGATCCTGTTAAACAAATTTCCTAGACCATTATCTTCTGTCTCTAGGTGCTCCTCTACACCCATTATTCTCAGATTAGGCTTTCTGATGGTGTCTTCCAATTGCTGAATATATCTATCATATTTTGGATTTGTCTTGGATAGTTGTACATTCTTTCTCCATAATATCTAGGCTGTCATCATTCACCGAAATTCGATCTTCTGCATGGTCTAACCGAATGTCAAGACTTTATTCTTTGTTTTTCATTCATTTTCCTTCTAATTGTTTGGTTTTCATGACTTCAAATTCTTTTTGGGAGCTTTGTTTCAGATCTTGTATGGACTTCTTTACTTCCTTAATTTGGTGTTCAGTTCTTATTCTCAAATCACTTAGTTGTTTGGTTATGGTTTCCTTATACTCCAATTCCTTCTCTCGGGTTCCAATCAGCATTCCCTTTGTGGTCTCCCTGAATTCTTTAAGCTGTCTGTTTATGGATTCCATGAATGCCTCTATTGATCTTTGTTTATTCTCGTCCCTCCCTTGCAATTCCTGTATTACTCTTTAATTAGCTTCCTCATGTTCATGCAATTCATGTAGTTCTCTTTGACTGTTCTCAGCCTGTTCACGCAATTCCTGACATTCTCTTTGTCTCTTTTCAGCCTGCTCATGCAATTCCTGTATTTCTCTGACAGTTCTCAGCCTGTTCACACAATTCCTTTATTTCTCTTTGAGTGTTCTCAACCTGTTCACACATTTCTGTATCAACCTTTGAGTAGCTTCCTCATGCTCATGAGATTATTGTATTGATCTTTGGTTTGCCTCTGCTCTCTCCCTATCATGATCACACTGAGTCCTTTGCAGGTTTTCTATCTGTTCATTCACCGTGTTTCCCAGTAATATTTATTGAGCTATTGGAGAACTCTCCTCTGGAATACTGGTTATCATGAGTGGGAGTTGAGATACCAGGACTTGGATTTTTCTTGTATTTCTCTGGCTTGTTCTGTCCATTTGATATGAAAGCAACACCAATTTTCTGGTAGAATATTTTTTCAAAGGCATGCATCAACCAAAGTCCTGTAGTTGCACAGGCAAAAGGACTCAGATATAATCTAGTTCAACAGATACAATCTATTCAACATCAAACAACTATGGATTAATGGGCTAACAACAGCAAGGATGAATTTGGCAAACCAGAAATTATTATATTTAGGGACAAATATGAGGAATAGGATTAGAAGAATGTGGAGAGGTAAAAGGAGAGTGAATTTAACCAAGTTCTAATCTCAAAGAGGGAAATGGATTGGACAGAATAGTAGGAGAGAGAAAAAAACAGACAAGAAAAAAATGGGAAAAACAAATATTAAATTTATTAAATGAATCTTTAAAATTATCTAAGTTTAAGGTGGTATTGAGAGAAGAACAAGATACGATGAGAGGAGGGGAAGGATAGAAAGGAGACATGAAAAACTAAAAACTAAAAATTCTCAAAAATTATATAGCCTAAAGAGATAATACTGCTATTACATTATTTAAGGCTAAGAAGTTTTGAATTGAGTAATAAAATTCTTGATTAAGTGTGTATACAATGGGGGTAAGGTCTAATATTTGACGACGGGCATATATCTGAGGATGAGCAGAACAGCAAATAAGTCACACAAAAAACAAGGAAACAGAAGAAAAAATGAAAAGAATGAAAAAAAAAAAGAAAAAAGGACCAAAAGGTCATTAGAGATTTAAACAAAGCACACTCACACACACATACACCTAAAATAAAAATTAGGAGAGAAGAAAAAAAGATTAATAGAAAACAATTTTTTTAAACTAAAAATTAAAAAAGGTACAAAAAAGAGTTCTTTTTATGGGGGTGGGGGGGAGAAGTAGATGGGAAGATCCTGTATCTCCCTGTGTCTGTAACCAGTCTCTTGGTGGAGTCTCTAGTCTGCTTGTGGTGTTTGGTTTGCCTGTGGCATGATTGGTTTCTTAAGTCAATTGTGATCTTCCTCCCAGGCTAGTTCAATGAGAGTGAGATCTGCTTTGAGTTTCACAAAAGAGGGAGATGGCTGTTTCCTCTAATTTGAAGATGCTGTGATGAGGCTAGGTTCTGGGTAGAGTTGAGGCCTTTCAGCAAATTGTAGCTTTTCCCTGAGGGATAGCTTCTGAGACACTCAGGGAGCCCAGCCTGGAGCCATTCTCAGGGTTTATGTTTACTGAATTTCACTTGATTGTTTAGGCTGCTGTAGGGAGGGGCAGCCTCTGGCTCTGTTTACCCAGTGAAGAAAGTCACTCCCCTCGGGGCAGAGCTTTGTCTGCCTGGGATGGGTGACTTTTCCTAAGGAGGAGCTGAGCCTGGCAGTTCAAGTCAGGTGCCTGTGACCTCATAAATGACTCTTTTGTTTTTTTTTCCCAAGGCAAGGCCTGAGTTAGAACTAGCTGCTCAGCTGGGCCTTTTCAATATCAAATATGGAGATCTCGGGGGGTGAGGGCGGGAAGGGTGGCCTTCCCTCCTCTGTTCCCTGAGAAGGAGTGAGTATGTCAGGATTCTACTCACGCTGGAGTCTTGGTTCCTGGGTTGTCTCTGGTCTGTGATCTGCAGGATGAAGATATCTGCTACTTGTCAGTTCTTTCTGGTTTTAAGTAGAATCCGGTCACCTGCTGTGTCTGGCACCATTGTCCCAGACTCTGTGTTGTTCTTTTGGCGGCTCGGCTGCTGCGGTTGCCACCACCACCGCAGCTGCAGCTAATGGCAAGTGCTCAGATCTGTTTCCTTGACTGGATTTTCCCTCTCTGGCCAAACTCTCTGTACTGTGATGGCACACTTCGTAATTCTCTGGCTAGGACTCTTCACTGGAACACTACAACTATTTTCTATGTGAGAGCTTCTTTAGCCTCTAGCTTCTCCTCCTCCATCCTCCCCTAAAGTAATCTGTTGTTGCTTTTTAAAAAACTGGTGCCAGTGTCTCATGCCTATAATCATCATAACTCAGGTGGCTGAGATCTGATAATCGAGGATTAATAACAGTCTGGGTAAGAAGGTCTGTGAGACTATTGTCTCATAAACTGGTTACCAAGAGACTAAAAGGAGCACTGTGGGCCAAACTAGTACAGTGATAGCCTTGAGAACAAGAGAACAGGGATTTCAACCAGGCCCTAAGTTCAAGCTTCTCATATTAAAAAAACGTTAAAAACAATTTGCCATCATTTGTAATTTCAGCCAATTTGTAATTTAAAGCCAATTTGCATCTCAGTTTGCACGTATTTGGGTGGGGGAACTAAACTTATGTAACAGTTAAAAGGAAAAAAAATGAGCACAAGTGTACAGGTGGCTCACGCCTGTAATCCTATCTTCTCAGGAGGCTGAGAAATGAGGATGGTGGTTCAAAGCCAGCCCTGGGCAGAAATGTTCCCGTGAGACTGCTATTTCCAATTAACCACTAAAAAACAAGAATGGCACTATGGTTTAAACTTGTATGGTAGAGTACTAACCTTGAGCAAAGAAGCTCTGGGACAGCACCCATGCCCTGTATTCAAGCCCCATGTCTGAAGGAAAAAATAAAGATTTCAGGGCTGGGAAGGTGGCTAAGTGGTAGAGTGCTTGCCTTGCATGTATGAGCCTTTGGGTTCGATTTCTCAGTACCACATAAGCAGAAAAGCCAGAAGTGGCACTGTGGTTCAAGTGGTAGAGTGATATCTTTGAGGTGAAGAGCTAATGGACAGTGCCCAGGCCCAGAGTTCAGGACCCATGATGGACAAAAAACAAACAAAAAAAGAGTTTAAACAAATGATGTGCACAATAGACTATACACTAAAGATGAAAGATTAAATTAATAAATTAATAATTAAAATGATGAACATTGTTTCAATTTTGTAGGTGGTGAATGTAGCAGAAAAAGTGATAAGAAATGATTCATTTCTAACAACTCTTCCATTTTTTAACCTCATTTACTACTTTTAAACTAAAGAGACATGTATCACTTTACAGAAAAACAAAATTGTACATGTATTTTAGCCTGAATTCCACATTCTATAATTTGCCTTTTAGTAAACAATCAGTATCTTTTCATATAAAATAGCTGTGATACCTTTATTTAATACTTCACATCTTTCCAGTATTTGGTTATATCAAAATTCCTCCTTTCCTTCTTTTCTTCTTTCCATTCCTTCATATCCTTTCCTCCTTTCAATCCTAGCAATTAAACTCAGGGCTTCATGCATTTTAAGTAGGTGCTCTACAAAGTGAGCCATACACCTGCTCTTTTCGCTTTAGTCACTTTTGTTTTTGTTGGTCATGTGGTTTGAACTCTGCACCTGGACACTGTCCCTGCACTCTTCAGCTCAAGGCGAGTGCTCTACTGTTTCAGCCACAGTGCCACTTCTAGTTTTCTTGTGGATTATTGAGATAGGAGTCTCACACACTTTCCTGCCTAGATTTGCTTTGAACTGGGATCTTCAAATCTCAGCCTCCTGAATAGCTAAGATTAAAAGCATGAGCCACCTGCGCTCAGTGCTGCTTTAGCCATTTTTATGACAGGGTTTTCTGTTTATGACCAGCCCAGCATGGATCACAATCCCTTGATGACAGGGAGGGTTGTGTGTAGCAAGTCAGATACAGTGGGGAAACAACTTTCTCTGCCCATCACAGGGAGAATTTTGGAGTATTGTATTAGAAATTTCTAGAAGTGGGTTGTGAGGAGCATTCTGCTTCCAGGAGTCTCTTCCCACTTCCCAACATTCTAGTCCTGCCAGAAAGGGTCTATAGTAGAAGGCTCAGGATGGAGATAGCAGACTCTTATTTTCCTTGTTACCAATATGCCCACAGCATCGATTGTTCCATCTTAACTATTTGGATGGACATCTACCCTGATGATTTTTATGAGCACAAGAAACTTGACATCCTGAAAAAACTTACACAGTATGACAAGCTCAACATGCCCTCTTCAGACTTGCTGTTCTGCTTACATATTCTTCTGGACCAGCTGGAGCAACGCATGGCCTGTGAGACCAAGAAAAAGAGTAAATAATCCTTGTTTAGATGCCTTAGAGCTTGTGAGTAGAGATAGATCCGGTCTCAAGGGATGGGCCTGCTTGGCCAAAAGCCCTTTGTACTACCCAGCTTGGCAAAATGTCCTTTTATGGATGTTCTATGCCGGGTAATGTCTGTTCCCTTTCTAAAAGAACTTGGACATAACCACTCATTAGAAACACCCTACCTTCTCATCAGTGTTCAGTCCAAACTCAAGTTCTACAGCTTCTCCTACTAAATCCTCATAGAAGTTTAGTCACACTTTAACTTCTAGAGTGTACTCTAAGACTCCTGTACCTGTTTTCATTCGTATGTTTGTGTCACTGTAGAGAACTTCTTGCTGAACTCCAGATAAAGAACCCATCAGTGATGTCGCCTATGGTGACTGATGGAGATTGGAAGCCAACACTGGACTCCACAAAGCATGTGAACATAGAGGCTTTTTTCAATGTGTAGAAAGGCCCAACTAGGTTTTGAGTCCTGTGGACATCCCACTGGTTCTGAACTCCACATGTTATGTAGGTGTACCTGCACATACCACCAAGGAAGAAGATGATCTAGAATGTCTTCCATTGATGTTCACAATTCACCTAGATCACATCCAAACCAGTAAAAAATGTTTTGGTCTTGGAGTGCAGGGTAAATATGTGCTCATGGAAAATGACCCCAGTCTATGTTCAGGAAAACCAATAAGTTAGGTCCAAAGTCTAGATTCAGTTGAGGAAAGGGAATCTATTCTCACAGAATATCCAGACCAATCTGTCCTTCTGCTGGGGATCCAATTTCCAGTTGAGAAATAAGATCTGTCCCTCCCTAGACTCAGGAAGAAAATACTGCCTTTAATGAGGAAGTAGATCATTTTGAGGACACTGAGGCAGAATTTGTGTCTGAAGGTAACTTAGAAGACAATCCAGATTTAGAGATTGCTTCCCCCCTTATTTAGAAAATCTTTATATTTCTTTTTGGTCCTGATTGTTGTAAAATGATCATTCTAGTTATTTTTCTAACGTTATTAAAATGTCAATGTTTATGTTATGTTATACAATTCATGAGCCTTAAATGTGTTTATTTTTCAACCTACAATGTAAAGCACCATGCACATGTGTTTTGTGTGTGGGAAAACAGAGTGACAGGGGGATGAACAAGAGAGCCTACTGGATATAAAGGGAATGGTTAAATGCACAGAGAGTTGCAAGGAAGCCAGGCCATGCCTGCATGTGGTGATAAGGTGGCTACAACAGATCTAGGACATACCAGATCAGATGACCTAGAAAGCTGTTCTGTCAATTGGG